CTGCGGCCGTTGGCGCGCTGCCTGGTGGGCGACCCGGCCGAGCGGTGCCGCGAGCTGGCGCTGGAGCTGCTGGGGCTGGGGCTGGGCCAGGGCGCGCAGCCGGCCGAGGCGCTGCCCGTGCTGATGCCGGCGCTGGCCCAGCGGCTCGGGCTGCCCCAGGGCCCCGGCGAGGCCTGCGAGGAGCTGCGCCTCGGGCTGCTGCAGTTGCTCACCGAGCTGCTCCGCCGCTGCGACCGGACCGCCCTGGTGCCCTTCCTGGCCGAGGCCGTGGCCGTCCTGCGCGCAGCCCTGCTCGACCCCTTCCCGCCCGCCAAGCGCCAAGGGTGCCAGGGGTGCCAGGCCGCCGCCGCCGCCCTGCCAGGTGGGCCCCGACGCATCTCTCGCACCCGGGGCCCGGCGGTGGAGGACGGGAGGGCAGGGGGCCCTGATGGAGTTTGGGCATGGGGAGTTGGGAGTTGAGATGGCGGCAGGCTTTCTCTGGAGATGATTATTCCGATGAGCTTTTTCTCCCGCCATAAATGTATGTGTGTGTGTATGGGGGGGGAGGGGGGCAATTTATATGTTATAGGTATAAATACAGGTAGGTGTATGTAGAATATACAGTGCATGCATATACGTACGTATACAGGCCGTCCAGAGTTGCCCTCTGGTAAGATGGGCAGCCAATGAATTCAATGACGGACAGACCTGACTGAGGCTAGATCAGGGGTGTTCAAAGTTGGAATCTTTTAAGACTTGTGGACTTCATTTCCCAGAATTCTTTGGCTGGCCAGGGAATTGTGGGAGTTGAAGTCCACAAGTCTTAAAAGATGCCAAGGTTGGTTGGTTTATTGGTTGGTTGGTTGGTTGGTTGGTTGGTTGGTGGTTGGTTGGTTGGTTGGTTGGTTGGTTGGATGGATGGATGGATGGATGGATGGATGGATGGATGGATGGATGGATGGATGGATGGATGGATGGATGGATGGATGGATGGATGGATAGATAGATAGATAGTTGGATGGATGGATGGATAGATAGATAGATAGATAGATAGATAGATAGATAGATAGATAGATAGATAGATAATTTTTACATATGTTGGCACATAGAAACATTGTATGGGTCAATATCGTTTATTAATTTTGTACGCTACCTCTCTCACTATTGAGCAACTCTGTATCTGTATATGTTTCTCTCTCTCTCTCTTTCTCTCTCTCTCTCTCTGTGTGTGTGTGTGTGTGTGTGTGTGTATAAAGTGTATCACATATATTGTATGCATTCACATACCACATGTACCCAGTGGTGGGATTAAAATAGGTAAACAGCCGGTTCTCCATGTGGATGCCGCTTCCGGAACTCCATTCTGGGCCTGGGCATCAAAAAGTTAGCTACCGGTTCTGGCAAAGTGGTGTGAACTGGCTGAATCCCACCACTGTATGTACCTCACAGTATATATCAACCCACATGCACATAACACATATATGGAACCTTATATATAATAATGTAGGTATGGGTCATTATATGTAATGTGTTGTTGGAAAAAGATCACAGTTACAAATCAGTACATTGCAAGTCTCCCCCATCTGGGGAAGCATTTCGCAGATTTAAAGCAGTTTAAGGTCACCCTTGTTTTAAGTCTTTGGTATCAGCCTTGGACCAATGTTAGAACCAAGTACTGTCTGGCTTAGAACAAATCCTAAAGTAATAATAGCAGCTAATTTCCCCCTACCCTTGCATTGAGGGGGCTGTTCTCTATCATTTCCAGTCATTAAAAAAAACCCACCATTTCTGCCTTCCAGATCATTTTCACCTGCAGTCGGAAAGCTTGATCAGTCCCTTAATGCAGGCCATTTCCCATCAACACTACAAGGTCCGTGTTGCTGTCATTCACGCCACAGGATCCGTGATCCAATTTGGCAATGTGAAATCGCTGGATGACGTGCTTTCCCACCTTGCCCAGCGATGCTTTGATGACATTCCACAGGTAACGTTTGGTCAGGGCTTAATTCACTAGTTTTTGTAAACTCAGTGCCGTGCTACAAAATCATTTTATTTGGATGGAATTGCAAAATGCATGATACTGGTTTCTCTCCTCCCCCCCCCCCCCGGTGTTTCAGGTCAGAGAGGCTGTTNTCAGCGTTGTCGGGGAATGGCTGTTGCACCTGCGGGATCGCTATTCCTATTTCCATAAGTTAATCCCTCTCTTACTCAGCGGCCTGACGGATGAAATGCATGAGAATAAGTAAGTCAAATTCAGACTGTCTATTTTACACTAGCAGGGCTGTCTGTGGGGATGGTCAGTGACGTCAGAGTGCCCATCGTGATTGGGCAATTGAATTTCCACCCCTTTTTAAAATGGGTCACATTGCACACTTGTAAAAAAAAAAAAGAGCATTGGATGGCCCTGTTGTATCTGCAAAGATACCTCTATCCCAGCTGTTTTCTGGATGTCTTAGATAGCAACTTCCAGAATTCTTAGCGTGAACAGACTGGCGGATAGCATATATGTGAAATTAAACTTGCATGCAGATGCTAGAGCTCTTACATTGAGCAAAGAATAAATACTTTTCAGCCTAGTCTATCCAACATCAACAAAAAGAAACATTGCCATATGAAAACTTCCATACCATCAAAAACCCTGTGCAGTTGTGAAGAAGCATTCTTGTATACATGTAGTCTTTGATTTAAAAGCCCAATTGAGACCAGCTTTAGTCAGACATCACCTCCAAAGAGTGGATTCTTTACAACAAAATGTTGCAGATTTAGTTTCTTAAACAACCGCTTTTTAAGCATACGTATGTTACATAGAATCAACAATATTTGTGATTATTTTCCTTTGTGTTTAGGGAGCTGGCTTTAACTTACTGGAAGAAAGTGGGATTGCAGTGGGAAAAAGAAAATGAAGAAGATATTAAGGATAAACTTGATTTTTATGCTGAGCCTTCTTATTATCCACCAGGATGTGAGTACAGTGCGAATTGACTTTTTTTGCAAATTACTTCCCTGAGGTTTTAATGTATAACTTTTAAAAACAAGGTATACGGAATACTTTCAAGGGAAAATATCAAGTAAGATACAAACAGAAGGACTTTTGGGGTTTCTTAGTCTGTTCCCAAATGAACAATGGTTTCCTTAAGATAGCCCTGTCAGTTTGCTTAAGTTTAATATTAAATCTACCTAGTCGAGTAGGCTTTTTTTTTCATGTAATGCACTTTCTAAAATATTGTAATTGCCACAGTTCCTAACCAGAAGTCCCACAGGTTACTGGCAGATTGACCAACAGATTAACATTTTGCTATTATTGAAGAAGAAGTCCTGCTATGACCTGCTACTTTTCAATCTGTTTATTGTTTACACTGGGATTGGTCTGATTTAGGAGCATTGTGACATTTTTAGATTACATCTCCAGTAAAAAAAAAAAAAAGTTAACAGCTAATTTATGTGGCCTTTTAGAATTTGACCTAGTAAATTTACACCCCTTCTCTTAAGAGTTTCAGATTGTTTTCTGATGCGGTTCTTGTTCTCTGTTAAATTTAAAAATGTGGTGGATAAGTCTTCTGTGGTAGATAATCTTTTTTGGCAAATGGGCCAGAGTGCCAGACTTAAATGTGAAAAAAAGACATATTTAGATTATCTCCCAGTAAAAAATTAACAACTAATTCTGGGCCGTTTAGGATTTGACCTAGTCAATTTCGTGTCAGATGTGCCAGAGTGCAAGACTTAAATGTGAAATAATATTGCTCTCATGGTCACTGCAATATATAAGCTTGTTCTGTTATAATTTTGCTTAATTTACTGAACTTGGGAACAGAGCAGAGCTGAGTAGGTAGGCATCTCTACACTTCCCATCCTTCTGCTGATGCCAGGCTATCAGGTCAGGTTAGCTCTTGACACTCCACTATATCTTTCCAGTGGTAGCCATAAACCACTTCTAAATTTGGACATGTTCCAGATTCCCAGATTTAAGTTTATTTTCATGGTTTTCCAAAGTTGAGAAAATTTTGGGGATCTATAAATAAAATTTCCATCATCAAAAAGTTAATCCAGTGTGGTAAATTAAAGACACATTAGAATATTCCATGTTCTAAAAACAAGGGTCCTTCTCTCTGCTGCTTCCCTACTCCCCACACGCCATGCATTTCCTGAAGAGCTAGAGAAACTGTCACAGCAGACGGGGATTCTCCCCAAGGGTGAGAAGAACACGAGGGAACGCCACAACAAGCACAAAAGGATGTTGCCTAAAATGTCATTGATTTAAATTAGACAAAAATCACTGAAGCCGTTTTAAAGAGGACGAGTCAAATCTCCCCACACTCCATTCTCAGTCCATGCGCTTGTTTAGGCTGTGTGAATGGACCGAGGGCCCGCAAAGTTCATCGAAGAGCTGAATCCAAACACCGGGACGATATTGCGGTCTTCCACTTTTCAAGATCTTTTCAATTCAATTTGTATTTCTGCTGCTGTCAGTGTCCTTTCACCTTTCATCCCAGACTCAGTTGAAAAACGGACCTTTCTTTTTTTCTTGAAGTAACTGGAGAAAGATTAAAAAGCCTCTAAGGCAGATTGGGGGGGGGGGGATTAGGCTTCCATTTCACCTATCTTCTCCTGCAGCCAGAGTTGGATGCGAGAGTGTGTTTGGGTTCATCATTTATGGCTTTGAAGTTCAGAAGCGAAGCTTAAAAGTCCAGAGCTTGAAAGCAATTGGCTTTACCCATATTAAAAAAAAAATACCCTTCGTCTTCCATTTTTACTTGTTTTTGGTGCCAGCCCCCAAAAAACAAAAATCATTGATGTGCACATTGGAAGCCAGATGCAGTTTAACTTGATGTCACTTGGGCTAATTTTTCTGCCCTTCGGTTCCACCTCGATTGCCAGCATTTGTCTGTAAATGACATATTTTTTAATAAATCTGCTGTTTGTTTAATGGTTTGGGAAAGAGCAAACTCTTTTTGCTTCTAAAAGGCACACCTGTCAAGTTTCCCTGCCCGTCCTGGCTTTTCCACCAAGGATTCTTTTTCACCGCAGCCCTTCTAGCTGCAAGCTAATGAACCTGACACTTCTCTCTTTTTGTTCTTTGATCTCTGGTTGACAGAGATTGCAGGTCAGTGGGAGAAGGAGAGAAAGAGCTCAAAGCCACCGTAACAATAGACTGACTTTCTGTAGGGGAAAAAGGGGAGTGGGGGGGGGGGAAATCACCGCCTCGGGCTGTGGGTGCCGACAAGTTAAGGAAAGGTGGAGAGAGAGAGAAGCTTTTGACAGCAGGGAGATATGCGATGAAATAGCTTCATTTGCGCATTAGGAATGAAGGGAACTGTTGAAAAGGGCCAGTCAAAATTGTTTTTTGGGGGGAAGAACAGCGCCTCTGGTCAAAAGGGACGCCATTCATTTTCTCAGCAAGAGATTTTTGTCTTTGACCTCTTTGTTGCCGGCTGTCAGTTTCTATAATCCCAATGCTTTTCTTCCATGACAAAAAGAAGTCAGACCTCACAGTACCTTTGAAGATTCTTCCCTTTAAGTAGATGCTTCACAAACACTCCTGCGTTGTTGGGTTTTGTTTTTGGGGGTGGTTTTTTTTGCATCCTGTCTTAACTTTTGCTTTGTTCAAATAACAGTGTTAGCCACACAAGCAGAGAGCCACAGAGGAGACCATGAGATGCTTGGAGAGAGTTTCCCCCCCCCCCTTCCTTAGATCATCTTCTTTCTTTGAGCAACATCGTTTTTTTTACCCAAAAGCACTGCTAGTAACTTCGCATGTTTTCACTTCCCAAAGGTGTATCTTTCCACGCATGGCCGTGCTCGTGCATGTGTGTGTGTAAGAGAAATAGAGAGATTCCCCAGTGTGGTACAGAAAGAGTAACAACACAGGAAAACGTTTGATGAAATGTGAGGGAGGCAGAACCATAAAAACAGAACGAAAAAGGCAGCAAAAACTTCAGGTGTAGTAATCAGTGAAAGTCCTCGTGTAACAGTTTTCAACTGGTAAAATAGTACATTTCATCCTTGGCTCAATAAAAACAAGACAAGAAACTTTGCGAAGCTGGTGTCTACATTTTAGGGTGAATTTGGGGGGCAGGAATATGGAACGTTGGCATGGAATATCCCCCGGTATCTCCCTCCTGTTCAGATTTAAAACTGAGAATGTTAGAAGAGCTTGAGACTTTTTTTTTCCCCGCCTCTCCCTGAATTCTTTCATCCTTTCTTTTCTTTTCTTTTTTTTCACCTAGTAACTCGCCCGAACCTGGGATGTCGAGAGCTGGTAACCAGAAACATCTTCAAAATACTTCCTGGCCTCTGCCACGATATCACCGACTGGGTCAAAGACACCCGAGTCAAGGCATCCCAGCTCCTGTTTATATTGTTGCAGCACGCGGAGGATCACATCACTCAACACATGGAACTCCTCCTGCGGACGTTGTACCGCGTGTGCTCCGATGAGGAAAGGAGCGTGGTTAGCAACGTAAGTGTAGCTCCTTTCAAAACTGTACTGGGGAAAGGATGGTCCGCTACCTTAAAGTTAACAGAGGTTTGGTCTAGCAAGAATATTTGGTCTAGGCAGGGTTAGGGTTAGGTCACCATGAACTCGGAGAGGAAAATGGACATCGCCAACAAATTCAGAGTGCTTGGGTATGGTTAGGGGGGCACTGACTTTTCCAGCCTGCCCTATCTATGTTTCCTGGTAAAATACATGGGAAAATCCCATTGGAGCAAAATTCCACTTAGGGTTAGGGTTAGGTCACCATGAACTCGGAGAGGAAAATGGACATCGCCAACAAATTCAGAGTGCTTGGGTATGGTTAGGAGGGCACTGGCTTTTCCAGCCTGCCCTATCTATGTTTCCTGGTAAAATACATGGGAAAATCCCATTGGAGGAAAATTCCACTGAGGGTTAGGGGTTAGGTCACCATGAACTCATAGGGGTTAAGGTACCAGGTGAGACACCAGGAGACTGTGAGTTCTAGTCAGAGGCATGGCAACCTGCTGGGTGATTTTGGGCCAGTCACTAGGAGACGGTGAGTTCTACTCCTACCTTAGGCATGAAGTCCAGCTGAATGACTTTGGGCCAATCACTAGGAGATGTTGAGTGCGAGTCCCGCCTTAGGCATGAAAGCCTAGGTGACTTTGGGCCAGTCACCAGGAGACAGTGAATTCTAGTCCCGCCTTAGGCATGAAAACTAGTTGGCTGACTTTAGACCAATCACCAGGAGAGGGTGATTTCTAGTCCCGCTTTAGGTATGAAAGCAACTGGGTGACTTTGGGCCAATCACCAGTCACTTTCTCTCAGCCCAACCCACCACCCTCACCGGGCAGCGTGAGAATACATTTCCCAAGTAACCAGTCCAACATAATAATTAACACTGATTATAGTACTCATTGCGATTGATCATTAATTTTATTCAACATGCACAGAAGAAGGACCAAAAAGGTGTGGAATCCACCCTTTTCCTGAAAGTTCTCAGATACTTTTTTCCACCTCACAGTATCAAGAGGCTCGTTGCCCCTTTTTTCCCCCACTTGCTTTTAGAATGTAATGGGGGCTGACCCCAAAAGGCCGTTAATTTTGTTAAATCAAACCTATCTGGGTCAAACTTCATAACGCTCCTGTTAAGCAAAGTGTATTTCCGTTTGATTATTGTACCGATCCGTGATGAGATTGCGCAAATCATGCTTCACCTGTGGCGCTGGCCAAGGTAGGGTATTAAGAGCCTCTTTAAAATCATAAGCAGGAGATTAAAATGTAAAATGCCTTTGAGGGATAAATTCCATTTGCAAGTTATGCGTAGTTCGCAACCTTTCTGGTTAATTTCACCACATTATCTCTTTCCCTTTCCCTGCCTATAATCCTCCCACAGTAATAAGGTATGCGTGTATCCCCGGCCACAGCTCTGATGAAGATTCTGAATCTGTTGGCTTCCAGGCCCCCACCTTGCTGCTTTCCTTGTCTATCTAGAAGAAACAGGAGTTCTTTTTGTTGTCTGCAACAAATGTAGCAAGCAAAGCATAGTTTCCTCCAGATACTGTATCTGTCAGCAGAATTATATCACTTGGGAGTCCATCCTTGGCGGCATCTTTTGACCGTTACGAGTAGCAAGAGGCCAAAGTTTCAAGCGTTGAGTTCTATACCCTCTTGTTTGTTTAATCCCGAAGCGTCTCCAGGTAGGAACTACAGGTAGCCCTTGACCCACGACCACAAGTCATCTCCTTAATGTCCTAGTTCCGCCTACGGGGCCTGGACTTTCCAAGGTGGTCTCCGTGATTGGAGGTTTCTGGGGTTTTGGTTTTTTTTTAAAATCTTGAAACCAAATTTTTAAGTCAAGGCCACCTTCCTGAGCAGGATGCCTGAAAAGGATTGTAAGTCAAGAGTTCAAGAAATGAATGCACTTTTGAAAAGAAGGGAAGAGACTTGGGGGGAGTTGTGTGGAATCTTTAGATTTCATGTGGGGTTCCTAAAGGAATAGAGCTACTCCTTGACTTGGTGAGCCCAACATTTCCGTTGCTAAGTGAGACCTTTGTTTAGTGAGTTTTGCCCCATTTTGCAACGTTTCTTGCCCCAGTTGTTAAGTAATCACTGCAGTTGTTAAGTTAGTAACACGTTTCTTTAATGAACCTGGCTTCCCCCATTGACTTTCCTTGTCAGGAAGTCGTAAAAGGGAATCACACGACCCCGGGGCACCGCAACAGTCATGAATACGAGTCAGTTGCCAAGCGTCTGGATTTTTGATCACGGGACCCACGGGGAGGCCGCCACAGCTGTTCAGTGTCAAAAACGGTCATTGGTCATTTTTGTAACTTCAAACGGTCGCTAAATGAACTGCTGTATATCGAGGACTACCTATAGTTTTAAAAAAAATCTCTCTGAATCCTCGGAGAACTCTTCCAGGTCAGCGGCACAAGGCTGAAAAGGACTCCGTATACAACAACTTTTCTCCTATTCCTTGCTCATCACGCTAGGCTGAACCGTGAGCTGCGGTCAGGATTATGGAGGAATAAATCTTGACTTCCATCCCAGCGGCATCCAAGGTGCAGGTTCCTAAGATGCCCATTCTTGGGGATCCTTCTTAACCACCAGAAGGCAGGGACCACTTCTCTGTTTGTTCGACTTTAGGCTGCCTCGCCCTCGTTTCTCTTCCTTCCTGAAAGAAAAAGCAAATAAGGCATATTTCTCTCTCCCCCTCCTCCCCTTTTCACGATTTAGAGCCCATAACCCACCATCTTAAGGGAGAATCTTTTCTTTGTTTTCTTCAAAGCTGGCAGGGGAACAGCTGTGTGAAAGGGATACTGTACATCCCGTGGGGGCCTCGGTCTCAGAGGGACCGAGCGCTTCCGTTCATTTGAGGGGGAGGCTGGAGAGGTTGTGCTGAAAGAAGACACAGGAGAGCTTCTTTGGGGCTGTCTTGCTACACCTGAATGAAATCCTCTCCTTGTGCATATAATCGTGAACGAGGGAGGGAGCCGAAGGCCTGCGAGGCAATTTCTGAGGCATGAGAAAAGAAAAAAAAAACAGTTGTCACCCTACATACTTTGTTTTTCTTTTTTTTAAAAAAAAAATAGCTCCGTGGAGTTCATTCATTTGCTCTTTAGCATCTTACGACACGGCCACTTTTTTTCTCTCTCTGTTTGTGTGTGTGTGTTTTGTTTTGTTTTTTAAAAACAGTGTTTGAAAGCAACAAAGCTGATTGGCGCCTTTGTCAACCCAGCGGTCTCTCTGAAACTGATCCTGTCCGACCTCCAAAGAGCCCCCACGGCGTCTTACCTCATGATTCTGGCGGCCGTGATCGAGGGCTCTCCCCGCAAAGTCTTGCAACCTCATTTGGTGACCCTTAGCGCCGCCCTCTGCAACCCTGAAGTCAGTCAGCGGACGGAAGAGGTGAGGAGACCCCCCCCCCAAACTAAACACGCGTCGGCATCTTTTCAGTCCGTAGACCTCTTCTCCAAAGTTAGCACCTTTGACCTCAGGTGCATGTGCAGCCTAAGTGCATCGTGCAAGGTCCAATCTGGGAAGGGTCCCCGGGACGAGAGGTTCGCTCTTCCAAGCTTTCGGATTCGTGCTCGTTTCCAGTACAGAGAAGTTCCTGGAAAGATGGGCTGCGGTGTGAGTCCAGAAGCTTGGAAGAGTAAGCCTCTGGTCCCGTTGATCGGCCCAGATTGGATCTTGCAACGTTATCCTGGGACACGAATATTCGCCTTCCTTCGCAAGTGTATTCAGGTTCAAAGGCCTTTCTCCTCCTCTGGGAGATTCTGCACACTTGAATGCACAGCCATTTTGGGGGTAGCCTTTCTGAGGCCGAGTTGGGGGTCAACTACTCTAATATAATTATAGCAGTACATTCAGAGGCTGACCACTTTTCAAGCCGTGGACACCACCCTCGTGTGACTCCTGGATTTGATGAGATGGCCAGGCCTTGGGAGACGTTACAGTCTCGTTCCCAAATCTTATGTGGGAACATCAGCATCTCACAAGGTTTAAAGGATGGGATTAGGCCCATTAAAAAAAACCTTTTTTTTCTTAATGCAATGCTTGCCTCCAGGGAAACTCTGTATGGGTATGGCAGATGTTTTCCCCCTCTGCAGGTCCAGGGTTGATAAGTTCCTTTGGAGATGGGAGAGGGAGAGGCAGGTGGGTTTTCTTGGCTAAGAACATCCATGGGAAACAGCCCACGCCAGATCGCTTGAGCAAAGCAGAGCAAAGCAGGAAGCGAGAGCAATTCCACTTCCGTCTTCCAGGAAGCGTGGAATAACGGCTTCTTTTTGGTGTTTTGGTAGGTCTTTTATTTGGAGCAGCTGCTTTGCTGTGTGGAAGCCCTCACTGAGCTGTGCCAGGAAGACTGCAAAGAAATAAGCCTGCAGCTCACCAAGGTTTTGGTGACCATCATGGCAATACCAACCACTGGACACTTACATGTAAAGGTGATAACCCCGGATGCCACTCTGCTTGCGCTTCTCTTGTTGCAGCGTGTGATTCCACCTCTGGAAAAAAGCTACGACATTAATCTGTGCCTTTTCATAATTCCAGGATTGATTAGCAGAGGCTATTTTGATTTTTTTTTAAAAAAAGGACCCCCAGATATACAAAGTAGAGGGTTGGCAACGGTCTTTTGGAACTGGGATGCCACGTAAAGAATTAGGTTTTTGTTTTTCTTCATCCAGTGCATGCCTTTTACCACTGAGCTTTGGCATAACTCTAGGCCAGGGGTAGGCAACCTTGGCTCTTTTATGACTGGCTCAGGAATGCTGGGAGTTGAAGTCCACGAGTCATAAAAGAGCCAAGGTTGCCTACCCCTGCTCTAGGCTGTCAGATAAAAAGCTGAACATCAAAAACTGGAGTCACTCTCCGTGCTAATTACACACTGGATCCTGTCTTAAGTTCAGATTTCAAAAGATAACCCCCAAAACTGACAACAGGGTAGAGGTGGGCATAGCCCATAAGCAAATCAGCTGCAATTTAGATTGGAATTTTGATCCTCCTTCAGTCTCTCCCGGGCTCTTGGCCCTTTCCAGGATCCAATCTCAGGAAAGAAGGATCCTTTCCTTTTAAGTATTTTCTTCAGTGGTTGCCCTTTTCACCTCCCACCCCCTCCAGTGCTGAGCTTTAAAAAGTTTGAGGCATCGTTTTAAAAATCGGAGGCCGGCACCTGAGATGCTTCTGATAATGGATGTCCCTCCTCCCCACTTTTTATGACTATCATTCAGGCATAAATCACTTTCTTCTCCAGTCAAATTCCAAATAAATCAGGCTGCCCTCTTTTCATGGGACCCTTTGGTGGGCTACACAAAAATTGCTGCCAGACTCACTCCTTCGTTTAATGGCCATTTGGCTTCCTGTTCGGTTGCTTCTAGGCACGATAAACCAGCCTGAAATTTACAGCCCTTGGCCACCGAGAAGCAATTTCCTCCCCCCTCCCCAAGAAATCATTTTGAAACTTCAGTTTTAAAACTGTAAAATTGAAAGGCAGGTGAACATTAATAGTATTTTATGCGTTTCTTTTTTTTAAAAAAAGGTCAAAAAGGTACTTTGACTTGTGGAATCCGGATGCCTAGACTTGTTCAGGAAGAAGAAAATCTAAGCATTTAGTCTTGGGATGCTGATTTTTTTTTTAAAAAAAATTTAAAACCGATTCCTGGATAAATCTGTTTTAAAGAAAAGGAAGCTAGTTAGGCAAGTCCCAAATTGCTAAAAGCATTCAAATAGGCATTCACCGGAAAGAACACCCCCCCTCCTAAAAAAAAAGGAAATTTTTGGACCAAATCCCTGATTAGCGTCACAAGCATCTCAGGTGGATATGCAGGTTGCGACTCTGGCTAATGCAAAGGTGTGTTTTCCCCCAGGATGCTAGCACAGCGGCCACAGAAACCCAGAGAAAGGTGTGGCTGCTTAAGAAACTGCCAACCAAGAGGACTAACTAGAACAGAAGTTCTTATATTGATGCTATTACTAATTGGATAAATGTTCGAAAAAATGCTTATATTTAACCTCTTGGTTACTAAAATATTAAGAACTGTATTAACCTAATGTTTGCAAAAGAGAACCATGTGGGAAGAAGAGAAAATCAAGGGAAGCTGTTATGTAGAGTATGATATGATAGAAATTGACTATTATTGTTGTGAAATGTGAACCCAGACAACATGCTGTTTATTAAACACTAAGGTTGTTAGTTTTAAAAAAAATCAATTATAGATAGATAGATAGATAGATAGATAGATAGATAGATAGATAGATAGATAGATAGATAGATAGATAGATAGATAGATAGATAATGGATGATAGATAGATAGATAGATAGATAGATAGATAGATAGATAGATAGATAGATACATAGATAGATAGATAGATAGATAGATAGATAGATAGATAGATAGATAGATAGATAGATAGATAATGGATGATAGATAGTTATAGAGATAGATAGATAGATAGAGAGAGAGAGAGAGAGAGAGAGAGAGAGAGAGAGAGAGAGAGAGAGAGAGAGAGAGAGAGAGAGAGAGAGAGAGAGAGAGAGAGAGAGAGAGAGAGAGAGAGAGAGAGAGAAAAGAAACTCCCAACAGATGCTATACGATCATATCTGGCACGTTCCAATTGCCGTTTCTCTTTCCATTCCAAAGCCCCGCAGAGGCCAAACGTTTGTCTCGATCCGTCTACAGGTAGTCCTCGGCTTACAGCGGTTTGTTTTGTGACCGTTCAAAGTTGCAACGGCACTGGGGGAAAAAAAGATGACCGTTTTTTCACAGTTACGGCCTTCCCAGCATCCCCGTGATCGTGTGGTCAAAATTCAGATGCATTGGGCAACTGGTTCATACTTGTGACCGTTGCTGTGTCCCCAGATCAGGTGATCCCCTTTTGCCAACTTCTGAGAAGCAAAGTCAAGGTGGGGGGGGGACACGCCAGATTCACTTCACAGCCAGGTGTCGAACTTAGCAACTGCAGTGATTCGCTTAACAGCTGAGGCAAGAAAGGTAGTAAAAGGGGGCCAAATTCACTTAACGAATAAGAAATGTGGGGCTGAATTGTGCTCGTAAGCCGAGGGCTGCCTGTATTCCTTCCTCAGTTCTTCCCGTCTCTGCCCCATCCAACAGTTAGAGGAAGCCATGAACGCATTGGCCGAGGTTCAGCACATTCGGAGTGTTGCTGGCTTATACAAGCAGCACATATCTCAACTAATGGACTGGATGTCCTCAACTCACGACCGCTGGAGCTGCTACTCCCCAGAACTCTTGCAGCTGGATGTAATTGCGACTCAGTCAGGTGAGAAGATTGGAAACAGGCACTAGGATTCATGGACCAAGTGATGTGAAGGCAGGTATACTCATCTACTGACTAAGAAAATTTTATTTGGCTGCCCAGTGTCATGGTTCCGACAGATGGAACTCTTCAAAGAACTTCGAGGCATTGCTTACCTTAAATATTCTCTAACACAGTCGAAGCCAAAAACTGGATTTCCCCTCCCCTGAGCCCAAAGCACAATTCCTTCCTCTAATTTACGGTCACAAGTCACATTCTCCAATTAGTTTGAAATGCAGGCTTTCCCTCCAGTTCTCCAGCCCGCCATTTCTTATCAGCTCTTATTTCAAACCACCTTGAATCACACATTACTACGATCTTGTTACGTCTGACTAATTCCCATACCCATTCTTCCTCCTCCCCCGCCCCCAGTACCATCTAATTCTAACTCTTAAGAGTAATACACAAGTTAAGGAAAATGGCTGCATCTCCATATGTTGTCAAAGCAAGAACATTCGATGTTAGCAGTGTTGACACCCAACATACGACTCCCGGTGACTCACAAAGATAAAGCTTCAGTACAAAACCCAAGAAACCCCCAATCTCCCTAGTGACAATCATCAGACCAGCCACTTGATGGGCTCCAGATCACTCTGGGATCCCCGGACCCATTGGCAGAACCCTGACTTCAGAGTCTTTGAGAAAGAGTGCCAAAGTGGGGCCCCATCTTATCTCTGCAGGGATGATGTTTCCTAGGGAGGGAGCCCCCCCAGAGAAGGTTTGAGGTACCTAGCTTATTCTTGAAGCCGCCGTTTGCTAACTGTTCTGTTCCAGATGAAACGGGACAACATAGCTTATTCAGTCCTAGCAAGGCTGCACATCCAGAAGTCTGTCCATAATTCAGCTTGTTCAGCTGAGATTCGATTGCCAGAATTGACCCCACTTCCCTCTTAGAGGGTTGCTTCTTTCAGAGGCTAATTTCACTTGGTACCAAAGTTTCCACTGTTTCCACTTTCTCTTCCCAGGCCCTGCGATTGCCGAAGTGCTGAAGGATTTTATTGCCATCCTTAGAACTTGCCTCCAGACTTCCAGGGACCCTCGGATGCGTCTGAAGTTGTTTTCTATTTTATCCGAATTGCTTCAGAACCCAGGCAAGACAGTCAACTCAGAAGGGTAAGTCTGCTTTCGTATCCTTTAGAACAGGGTCTGTCAACCTGGCCGGCTTTTTAAGACGTGTGGACTTCAGTTCCCAGAATTCCCCAGCCATCTCTTCTGGGAACTGGAAGTCCACACATCTTAAAAGTCAGCCAGGTTGACAAAACACGGCTTTAGACATTTTGCCCCCATTGGATTTTTACCTTTGGTGTCTCAAGCCAAGATGTAATTTGGTTCTCTCACTGTTTATAGCGATTCTCAGCTAAACAGGGTTATTTGAATTAAGTTAATTCCCAGTTAAAGGAAGCTGTATTTCATTTCATCGTTGCCCACGTCGTTTTGTGTGAGATCGGCGGGCTTTTGGATTTGAGAAATAAATAAATAACAAAGCAGCCTGACAGAAAGGCGAAAATTATGCCCAAGGAATGGGTTGTCTGTCCTAAGGAGAGTACAAATGTAGAAACATCCAGGGGGCACTGTCCAAACCTCATCAACAGACTTCAGCTTAATGTTGATTTTACCACCCAGGTTGTGTTTATGATTTTAGAACCGGCGCTTGCGATGGTGCAATGCTTTTTATGTAGAAAAGGAGCTCATAAAACTTTCAGCTTTTCTGGGAGATGTTTTGTTTTTTCTTTTCAGAAACATTTCCTCTCTAGAGTTTGGCTAAAATCAAACCATGTCGGGGTGCTCTCAATCTGCTCTGGCTGAAGAGTTACTACTCCTGGTTTGAATCTGCTCCCTGCATGAGGCACACTCCCCCCCCTGCCTCCCCCCCCCTTGCAATCTTATTGCACAGGGAATCTTTTGAAATATCTTTCTGGCCACCAGTTCAACTGGAGGTAGGGCGGGTTAATGGGAGGAGGCGAGAGGAGCTATATCTGAAATAGGATGGATTTGGCTCCGAGGAAGGACAAAAGAGGTGGTGGTGGGGGATGCATTTTCAGAAGATACTGTTCTTCCAAGTTAAAAAAAAAAATTGCACTTTTTAAACGTTATTCACCTTCCCGGGAGACATTCCAAAGCAGGGCAGTGCGTGGCTCTTGTAAAGCCCCCCTTTTGTGGTTTTGACACATTTTATTTAAGGGATTAAAATAAGCCATTAGGGGGGGGAAATGTGAAAGATCCCATGGGTCATTTAGCCCAGACCACCTTGAAGCCAAAACCAGGGCCTGAAATCACTTGGAAGAAGAAACCGCTGGGTAGGTTTTCACGGTGAACAAAAATAATAATAAATGGAGCAAAGTAGCCTTCTTTTGAAAAGTGGGTTCCGGGTTTCGGGTCTGTGTGGGGATTTTTTTTTTGAGGAGATTGCAAAACGCTGTCACTCTTTGCTCCCTAACTATCTGGCTAAAAAACTGGCATTGTTATACATTGTTTTGTATACACAAATGCCTTTTCACAGCCTGCAAATCAATCAATCCCTGGCATTATAAGGGCTAGCCTTTATCCATGCCCAATAGATTGCAATAGAAAGCTTCCACCCAGAGTCCCATAAATGGAACATTGTACAGGACATACGCTAACTCTCCTAATAACTATTCTTATCTTGTCCATAATGTTTTCCACCAAACGTGGAAGACATTCCCAAACGTGGGAGAAATTTCCTAACAGGGAGAACAACCCACCAGTGGAACGGCTGGTCTCCAGACGTTGTGGGCACTCCATCACTGGAGGCTTTCAAGAAGAGACTGGACAGCCAATGGTCTGGGATCTCCTGCTTGATCAGAGGGTTGGACTAGAAGACCTCCAAGGTCCCTTCCAATTCTGTTATTCTGTACACAACAATGATAGGCATCCAGTTGGTCATCCTTTGGGAGCAAAACCATCCTGGACAGGCTGGCCTTTATGCTGTGATTTTATTGAGTGTGGAGGTGTCATCCTTCTGGTGGCTGGTTCTGACATGCCACCTGCTGGAATAGGAGAGCATATAGAATAGGGGTCTCCATTGCTGGCTGTGGAATTCTGGGAGTTGAAGTCCACATGCCTTAAAATTGTCAAGGTTGAGAAACACTGCTTATAAGCCAATCAGCGCATTTAGGATAGGAATGTGCTGTGGGCTCCCTTCCATAATGGTCAGTTGCTGACCTTCCATAACGATCACTTGCTGACTTCACATTCATTTACTGGCAAAGTGCAAAACCTGGGCAATTGCACAACATTTGGCCCGCAGAAGAACCAGCAAAATCATTTTGCTAGACAGCGTTTGATTGGATCCTTAAATCAAACGGCAGGCCCGAAATCAGCTCCTAAGTCGGACGGGATCCCCCCCAAAAAATCTGTTCAGAGATAAAATGGGCTAGGAGATCCCATTCCAATATCTCAGGGGTTGCCATAAAGAAGAGGGAGTCAAGCTATTCTCCAAAGCACCTGAAGGCAGGAGGAGAAGCAACGGATGGAAACTAACCAAAGAGAGAAGCAATCTAGAACTAAGGAGAAACTTCCTGACAGTGAGAACAATTAACCAGTGGAACAACCAGCCTCCAGAAGCGGTGAATGCGCCAACACTGGAAGTTTTTAAGAAGAGACTGGACAGCCATTTGTCTGGAATGGTACTATAGGGTTTTCCTGCTTGAGCAGGGGGTTGGACTAGAAGACCTCCAAGGTCCCTTCCAACTTTACTATTATTATTATTATTATTATCTCTGAAAAGCCCTCTTGTTTAATCCAAAGGTGGCCGTTCAAAAAAAAATGGAGAACGCTGAAAGAACTTTTCTTCCGGGAGCCGAAAGTGGCCTTATACATTATTTACGCGTATTCCTGCCACTCTTTTAGAAATGAGATATTCCGCATAATGAATAAATAATGCACCTCGGCAGAAGCCCTTGTCAGAAGGAAGAGATTTATTGCATCATTCCGAGACCGTCTGAGTATTGACTTCGGCATTTTTATTTTTATTTATTATTTTTTTTTTCCCCCCCTGTGATCAAGGCTGAAAATATCCCACGGGGAGAGAGGATCTGAATAGTGACCTTGTGTCTTAGGGGGGGAAAAAAGGAAGGTTGTCGTCAGCGGAGCAAGAAAGAACGTCCAGTTTAATTTGGTCGGTTGAGCATTGATATTGTTCCAAGCCTGTATTTATTAGCTCCACGTTTGGAACTTTCTCCAGACGTCCCTTCTAAGACCCAGGGCACCGTAAGAACAGACCTGTCCTCATTGACTTGGAACGTCGGAAAAATTCTGCTTCTTATGGATTCATGTCCTGCTGGAAACTTGGCAAGCTCCGTCGCTTCGTCAGAAGTGAATTTTACCTGCAGCAAATGTATTTTTTGCCTTTTATAGAGAGAGATAATAATAATAATAATAATAATAATAATAATAATAATAATAATAATAATAATAATAATAATAATAATAGTAGTAGTAGTAAAGTTGGAAGGGACCTTAAAGGTCATCTAGTCCAACCCCCTGCTCAGGCAGGAAACCCTACACCATTTCGGACAAATGGCTGTCCAGTCTCTGCTTAAAAACTTCCAGTGTTGGAGCATTCACTGCTTCTGGAGGCAGGTTGTTCCACTGGTTAATTGTTCTCACTGTCAGGAAGTTTCTCCTTAGTTCTAAGTTGCTTCTCTCCTTGCTCAGTTTCCATCCATTGCTTCTTGTCCTGCCTTCAGGCGCTTTGGAGAATAGCTTGACTCCCTCTTCTTTGGGGCAGCCCCTGAGATATTGGAACACTGCTATCATGTCCCCCCCCCTTCTCTTTGTTAAACTGGACATACCCAATTCCAGCAACCGTTCCTGATATGCTTTGGCCTCCAGTCCCCTGATCATCTTTGTTGCTCTTCTCTGCACTCTTTCCAGAGTCTCAACATCTTTTTTACATCGTGGTGACCAAAACTGGATGCCGTATTCCAAGTGTGGCCTTGTATGTTTTTGAGGCAGTGGGGGAGACCAGCTCGCCTCTTAAGAAGCATGGGGGACACGCTCAAAGCAAAAAATTAAACTGATTGACAGGTAGTCCTCGACTTAAAAACTGTTCGTTTAGCATCCGTTCAAAGTTACAACGGCACTGAAAAAAAGTTAATGGCCATTTTCCACACTTCGCAGCCGTCGCCTGTGATCAAAATTCAGGCGTTTAGCAACTGACTCGTATTTATGACGGTCACGTGATTCCCCTTTTTTGTGACCTTCTGACAAGCCAAGTCCATGGGGAAGCCAGATTCTCTTCCTAACTTAACAACTGCAGTGATTCACTTATGTGGCGAGAAAGGTCATAAAATGGGGGGAAATTCACCTAACAAAGGCTTGGCTTAGCAACAAAAAATTGAGGCTCAGCTGGGGTCATAAGTAGAGAACTTCCTCTATTTATCGCAGGACACTTTTAATCGAAGCAGTTCATATCTTTGAGCTCCATAGAATTAATAATAACCTTGCCTTCCTTTCTTCTTCAAAAGCATTGTTGGTTGCCTCCAGCCCTGGGACCCCTCTGGATAAGACACTTTTAAATTAAACAGAAGCACCTTCAGGTTAACCCGGGGTGGGTTCAACCTGTGAGTAAGGGGTCCAGGAAGAGGACAGGTCTCTTCCTCCTTCCGTTCGTCCTGAAATATTGCTTGCGGAAAGTCCATTTATTCCCCTTCCCCTAAAGAAATCCGAAGTAATGAAATATTGTTAACATATCCTGTCATCAATTAAGCTTTTCGTTCGCTCTCTCTCTCTCTCTCTCTCTCCCCCCCCCCCAACCTCCCCATTTCTTGTTCACGCACCCTTCTTCCTGTTCGGGCTCTCTTGTTTTCGAGTCTAAAAATGTGCCTTTTCATCCTCCCCGTCATTCCAGCACGTTTGCACAAAGCTTTTTTCATATTTGGCTGCTCTTTGTTTTTTGGCTCCAGGCAGTTCGGTAACTACCTTGAGATTGTGATAAAAGACATCCTGTCTCCTAATCTCCAGTGGCAGGCGGGAAGAACGGCAGCTGCCATCCGCACCACGGCTGTGGCTTGCCTCTGGGCTCTGATTTACAGCGAACTGCTCTCTCCAGAAGAGGTAAAGTGTCCTTTGACACCCCCCCCCTTACCCCTCCCCGCCTTCTCCACAAACATCACATCAGATCAGCCTCAGTGAAAACCCAGAAACACTGTTACCTCGAAACGCGGGTCAGCCCTACCTGCGTTTCGTCTTCATGCTGCTCCGGGTTGACTCTAGCCATCTAGAATAGGGCTTTTCAACCTTTTCACCCATTGTACCACTTTTAGGATATGGCAACATCCAAGTACCAGTAGTCACCTAGCAAGGTGTCAAAAACTTGATGACCCCCCCCAAAAAAGAGGAAAAAGTGATGAAGTACAGGTAGTCCTCAACTTACAACAGTTCGCGTAGTGACTGTTCGAAGTTACAATGGCACTGAAAAAAGTGCCGAGCAAGACACCTGCCTGTCTGCCCGGTGGCGCTCTTCCTCCTGTCCGAGGTTTCCATTGTTGTGAGCATTTCTGTTGAGGATTGGCAGTGGGGGTGGGGTGGGGGGGTGTTTGGTTTTTATTCCCCCCGTCTGCTGGGTGGTTGCAGCAGGTTTTGGTCACTTCACATGACCCTGGGACACGGTGACCGTCATAAATATGAATCAGTTGCCAAGCATCTGAATGTAAATCACAAGACCCTGGAGATGCTGCAACATTCCAGCTGATCGGCGCTTCTTCTGGGCTCAGCAGAAGTGTCAGGATCAGTGTTGCTTTCCAGCTGATTGGTGCTTCTTCAGGGCTCAGCAGAAGCACCAGGATCAGCGCCGAGCTCCAGCTGGAGCCTGGTGCTGATCCTGGCTCTTCCGCTGAGCCCTGACAGCCCTGCAGCTCCAGGCTTGTGCGGTGCTGCCACCGGTTCAGCTCATTCCCCTCCCCTGCTATCACTTTTCTAGGATGACCGCGTACCACCTGCCAGGTGCCAATGTACCACAGGTGGTACCCGTACCACTAGTTGAAAAGCCCTGATCTAGAACAAGAGTCTCCAACCTTGGCGACTTTAAGACTTGTAGACTTCAACTCCCAGAATTCCCCGGCCAGCCAGAATTCTGGGGATTGAAGTTCACAGGTCTTAAACTTGCCAAGGTTGGACATCCCTGATCTGGAATATCCCAGCTGGTGGGAGCAACTGCCGCAAAAGCCCCCAGCATCAGGCTGGGAGGGAAGAGAGGGGGGCCAGCAGCAGGCTTTGTAGCTCCATCTGATCAGCCATTGCCTCCCTATCTTGTGACTTTGACCCTTTTCCTCCTGTTGTTCCAGAGGAGCATTAAAACCAAGGCTTTTCCAAGAAGCCTTTTTCAGTGCAGGGGGTGACATTTAAAGCAGGTGCCAAATATGGGGTCTGCTGTGTAGGGTTGAGATGAGGTTTGAGGGTATTGTGACTGCTTTCGATTCGTATTTTGTCAGGGGGCTGGATATAAGCCTTCTGGAATCTGCAACGAGCTGGGCAACATGTGAGCTTACGAAATTAAATTAAAATAGTTTTTCAACCCTTGCCAAGCTCGTACTTAGGAAAGAGAGGTTAGCCTGGGATTCGGCCCAAGAATAAAAACTCTGCAAGAGGTAGAAAGGAGTCAGCGGTGAGCCAGCAAGGAAAGAATGGTGGCTTAACTCCTCACCCCCCCCCCTCCCCACACACACACACCCAGTCTGAAACCTTCAGATGTGTTGGGCTGGGGGAATAGTTTGTTTGAAATTTGAGCATTTTGTGTTTGGAAAAAAAAAACAAAAACCACGCAAGCTTCTAATCTCCTTTTAACTTCAAAGGCTCAAGCTGGTTCTGTCCCATTGTTCAGTGAGAAGTCAACCTGCTCTCGCTTTTCAGCGTCTGGCGAAATGAGTCCCAACCATTAGGCTGACTGATACACATCTTCTCCAATTAAATCCTCTGAAAATTTCAGTATTTTCAAAGACAAAACAGCTGAAAACAACCTTTTAACACAGGAGAGACCAAACAGACGTTGTTTCCATCCATTGTTTCTTGTCCTGCCTAAAGGTGCTTTGGAAAAGAAGTTGCCCCACCCCTCTTCTTTGTGGCCCCCCTTCAGGTACTTTTGCAAACCTAGTCCCAAGAGAGATTAGGTTTGCAAATCCTGTAGCTATCCTTGAAAGCGTTTCCTCCATCTCCAGTAGAAAACGTGCGGAGGGGGAATTTCTGCCCGTCTCCTTCGTGATTTGGGTGGTCTGTTGTGGAAGAACTTTAGTGGTGCTGTTTAGATTGGGATATTGTGGTTGCTTTACAGCCAAGGCAGTAATATTGACTTAACTGTCAGACTAAATCGTTAGAAGATTAGGCACAGAATCCCCATGAGGTATACACGGCTTTCTGGTTTTTTCCATTAGTGCAAATTTTTCAATTTCTCCTTCAGAACTTTTGAATCAATTTGAACACAAAGCAGGCAGAATGTGGACGGGCGGGAGACAGGAGAAACGGCAGGTATAACATTTGATGGCTAATTGTAGGCAAGACAAGATTGAGGTGGGACATTGCACAGAAATTGGGCCGTGAGCGCCATCTCCCGGAGGAACAAAGAAATCCTACCGTGAACTATTGTGTCGCCCTTCCCAAATATCTGTCTGGGCAGTGGGTAAGATGCTTATTAAATTAGCTTTCTGTCTTTCCAAAATAATGCACAATCTGCAGAAATCAGCGTGGCCTGGATTTCAGAATGCAGAAAGGGCAGCTCTTGAGACAAACAGAAAAATCCTGGACCATAAAGAGTGCCTGTAATTTATTTAGTTATTTATTCCAATATTATGAGTTGGGATTTTATTTTTGTCTTTCATTCGAGCGCAGTATCACAAACTGTTCTTAAAACTCTCTGCTTCAGGCATCATTGCAGCATGTAATTGATGCAATCGGAGAAATATAATTGCAAGTCCCTCTCTTGGGGCTATGCAATACTTTTGGCCTTGCGTTGTCATTTCACAGCTGAACTTTCTACAGCTATTAAACAAACTAGAAGGGGTGGGTGGGAAAAAGCAGCAGGGACACCCAATGCAATAAAATTCCAATTAAAAATGGGGAACAAGCTAGCATGCTTCTCCACTTTGTTTCCTGTATCCTTGGCAAATCTCTTCCCTTCCTAGGAACTCTTCGCTGGATGATGGTTCAAACAAGGAGGAACCTATAAACTTATACAGGTAGTCCCCAAGTTATGACCATATTGGAGAACGCCCATCACAGTCGTAACTCATGATGGCCATAAATGCAGCCCAATTGCAGGAGGTCCAAAGTGTGGTCACGAGACCATCCATCAAAACTTAGAATCTGGGTAGACCCACAAGTAGGTCTACTGAAACTTTGAGTAGAGATTGGCCATAAGTCAAGGACTACCTGTATACTGTGCTACATCTTGCCCATCCACAAGAAATGCCTAATTTAGAAATAAAAAAACTCAGAGGGCTGCTAAAAGAATGCACTTCTTTCATTATCTGCCTGGTTAACTTTTGCCTCGATTCTAACTTTTTAGCTGGATTTGTTGCATTCCCTTTGGAAAAGAGCTGACGTGAGAGAGAACGAGTCGCACACCAAATGCCGATCGCTTAGCAAAGATCCTTTTGCTGAATCTGCTGATTTCTTGTTTTGACAGTTGCAAAATGTCAAAGATGCCCTCATGCCTCAGATCATGGCGACGCTGGAGGAAGATTCCAAAATGACCCGTTTGATGTCTTGCCGAATTGTCAGGACTTTTTTAGACAATTGCGGAAAACAGCCTGAACTCAGCAAAATTTATCCAGGTATCTTACAGGGATAAATGGCGGGGGTGGCTTTCCCCTAGAATGAGAACCTGGCTGTTTTTCAAACTTGACAACTCTGGAAAAATACAGCTTTAGAGTCACTCCAGTTTCTAGATACATTCCCCCCCCCCCCCATTTCTGGTCTGCTAAATTGTAGATGAAGTAACAAAATATGGGGAGAGACTAAATGGAGACAATGTTGTTGTCATAGCTAAACATATCAAGTAATGTTTCTTGCAATATTCACCGTAGCATTTGATAACTCAGGGTGTTTGGGTTTAATTTCCTACCTATAAAGGACCATATGAGAAAAAGCAGTGACTAATTCATAGATAGGCTAGAAATGTATTATTTCACAGAAAATTATTCTGTTAAAGCTTTTCAACTAAGAATCGTGGTGGTTAGCATCATCGTTTTTTTCTGTGTTTTTTTAAAGTTAGGCAGTTTTAGAAAATGAAAGAATTAAAACCGAGATAAATAAATGGAAGGTTTATTAAAGGTGTTTGAATTCCATATATTGCTATAGTGGGAAGCAATTTCCTCGTTGCATAAATTGGCGGAGAAATGTCATGTTCATCATGTCCAGGAAATGACCCTGCCGTTTCTTTTTCAGAACTCTTGAAGCGCTTGGATGATGTCTCGCACGATGTCCGTTTGGCAGCTGCCGATGCCTTGACCAGTTGGTTCAAGTGTGTAAATGACCCGGAGACGAAAGCTCTTCTGAAAACCAACATTGAGCTTCTCTACAAAGAGTTGTTAATTCACCTGGATGATCCCGACCAAAATATCCAATCGGCTGCTTTAGGTAATTATCCTGTTCAGTAAGCTCTGGTTTTCCTGAGATTTTAAAAATAAAATTTAGCTAATCGTTCTGATGTACCGTGATAATCACTCCCAACTTCCTAGTGGCACGCTCCCGTGAAATAATTATGGCTCATTTGTGTTCCAAAATTATTTTTGAGAAATTGTATGCCCTGAAGCCCAGGCCATTCTTGTAACTCCAGCAGCTTCTGTTTTGTAGATACTTTGAAAGAAGGAGGCCTTCTCTATCCAGATCTCTTGGCGAAGGAGATTGAAGGAGTTGTGCACAAACATCGCACTCCAGTCTACTGTGACCAGCTGCTTCTGCACCTTGAATCAACGGGATGGAGTTATTCCGAGTCATAAGTGCCTCAGTGTGCCTTAATTAATGGTGCCTTAATTAATTAAAAATGGGAATATTTCTATCTGTTCTCCAAAAAGAAGGTACTTCAATAAACAAGAGACATTTTGAGCTGGAATAGGCTAAAATTCATATCCTCCTTGCACACATGAACACTGCAAAAAAACCCTTCTATAATATTTATTGCTGCAGATCCTGAAACTAACACTTTTGCAGTTATGTTTAAATAACAAAATAGCAATGTGCTAGCTCTAGCTGATGTGTAGATTGAATGATCCACGTCTAACGGGGAAAGCTCTTTTATTCTGCAAACATTTTTAAAATGGATAGTTTTTATTAAATTAACAGTAAATTGAAACCATTTCCAGTATGTGATACTAGATACTCAGCCACAGGAGCAAATAGCAGGGACTCCGTTCTCTTGGCCTTGAAATTCTTGGAGCGTATCAAATCTAAATGCCATCCTATGTTTTTATAATACCTTGATTTATGATGAAATAAGAGCAGTGTTGTATATAAACGGAATCTGAGAACAGGTTTTGATAAGAAGTTTCAAATGGATGATTAATGAAGAGAGCTGTTTCTCAGTCTTTATGTGTTCATTGTTTATGCTTTCCCTAATTGCTGATTTTCATGCTCTTCGTTTTTTATGATATTTTGAATGTTGCCGTTTGGTTTCTTAATACAGCTTTACATTTTGTGATAAAATAATTTGCCTCTGTATGAAATGTGTTTCAGAGATGGAAGGAAGAGGTTTTGGCTTCTGGATTTCAAGCCAGACATTCAAAAGAGAGATTTCTAAACATTTAAAAACATCAATTAATTCTTACGTATTGAGGCCATGAGGTGTCTAGAAAATTCCTTTTCTTTTTTCCAGCATGGACCTATTTTTCTTGCTTTGCATTTTGCAAAGATTTAAAATCATGTATCAATGCAAGCCCAGATGATCATGATGGGAAGGGGGAAAGCTGATTAGACTGCATTTTCTTGTAAAAAAAACAACAACGTAAAGCTTTCAGTGGGAAAATGAAAACAGAAATTTAGACCCTTACATTATCGGTGGCAGTCTCCAGAAGAAATTCCCAGTGATAGGATCGCCTGAACTGCCGAAGGATGATAAATAAAGGAATTGTTTTCTGTAGAGGTTGAGACTTGCTTTACTTTTAAAAACGAATACAATAGAATTCTGGTAAGTCTCAAAGATTGACATCCCTCTTCTGTTTGTTTAAAGAAAAAGAAAAACCCCAAAGGCTTTGAACTCACCCTTTGTGAGAATTCAAACTATCTGTCAATTAAATGCTGCTTTTTATTTGAATCCGTTAATCTGAAAGAGTTGTTCCTTAGTTAAAATGGCCTGTGCTAACACCTAGGAGGAGGTTAGCACAACAATACAGGTAGTCCTCGACTTACGACAACCGGGACCAGAATTTCCATGGCTAAGCCACGAAGTTGCTAAGTGAGTTGCCCCTGATTTTATGACCCTTTTGCCACAGTTAAGTGAATCGCTGCGGTGGTTGTTAAGTGGATTATGCCGTTAAGTGATTCAAGCCAAATCATGGGATGGTAGAGCAGCCACGGTGAGTCATAAATCGTGGCTTTAAGGCGATCTTTCTCTACCTGAGCAAGCTGAAGAAGTCTGAACTTCAACTCCCAGAATTCCCCAGCTGGGGAATTCTGGGAGTTGAAGTCCACACCGCTCCCAGTCGCTCAGGTTGAGAAACACCGGTTGACGGGATAGGCTCCTCGCCCAACCTCAGCCAAGTGACGGCTTCGCACTACACAAACCAAGATCACACCAACTCAGCTTAGGCTTCTGGGAGGGCCCAGCTTACACAAGGGGCATCGTGGCTTCTTGTTAACCCTGATAGCTGATGCTAAGCCAGGATCTAGGGGACGATGCACCAGGTGCCTTTGGGCTTGTAGCACCAATCCCAGCTGTGGCTCCAGCAGCAGCGGAAGGGCGTGTCCCACCTCCTCCGCGGACTTCCACGCCCATCATCCCCAGCGCCAACCTCCCCGGCCTGCCGTAGTGCCAAGCGGTGCCAAGCAGGGTGGGCGTGGCCGTAGGCCAGTGGGCGTGGCCGCCCCTCGGAGCGCGAGCCCCTTTCGAAATCCAACGGCCGCCGCCCGGGAGCGTGCCTGCCTGCCTGCGCACGCGCACGGCGACGAGTTCTTTTTTTTTCTTCCCCCCCCCCCTCTGGAGAGCCCGGCGGCGCCAGCGCTACGCTTCGAACGGCGCGGAGACGCGCACGGCCGGCCCGTCAGGTAACGCGGCGAGGGGCGTGCGCGCTCCCGCCTCGCCCGGCTCACCTGTTGCCTCCTCCTCAGTCGGTCGTGGCTGCCTGAGAGACGGAAGCGCCAAGAGAGGGGGCCGTGGTGGGGGGCGCGGCAGGCGGTGCCCCGCCCTGAAAAAGGCGGAAAAGCTGCGATGGCTGAGGCTGGGAGGGGGCGTATAAAGTGGGCTTAGCCCCCCCTCAGAGGCAGATGGGGGGAATGGAGGAGACCCCCCCTGCAGGTGAGGGAGAGGGGCGGGTGCAGCAGTGAACATTTGATATCCATCCCATTACCTAAAGAGGTACAAATAATACAGCTCAAATATATATGTGCCTATGTATTATATTAAGTGTGTGTGTGTGTATATATACATATATGTATATTCAGAGATAAAACCAAAAATTCGACTCTTGGGAATATTCATAGTACCAAAATAACGATCACCAAGAGAGCATCTATAAAATATAGAATTTAATACACCAAGCTTTCGTCAAATACACTTGACACCGTCAGGGTACATATATATATGTATATTTTTCAAAATTTGAATTGCTAACAAAGAATTAAGGGAGTACTGGGATAGCTATTTCAAACCTTATTTCTCTCCCATATTTGGGCCGACAGGGTGCACTAAAAGAAAAAGCATATATGTATATATATGTATGGAGAGGTAGAGGTAGAGAGACAGAGAGAGACAGAGAGACATAGATATAGAGACAGACATAGAGATAGATAGATAGATAGATAGATAGATAGATAGATAGATAGATAGATAGATAGATAGATAGATAGATAGATAGATAGATAGATAGATAGATAGATAGATAGATAGATAGATAGATAGATAGATACTCATATACACATACAGGTAGTCCTTGACTTACAACAGTTCATATAGTGGCCGTTCAAAGTTACAAGGGCACTGAAAAAAGTGACTCCAGACCGTTTTTCACACTTAATGACCGTTGCGGCATCCCCAGAGTCATGTGATTTATATTCGGATGCTTGACAACTGACTCGCGTTTATGACAGTCACAGAGTCCCCGGGGGTCACGGGACCGTGGGGAAGCCAGATTCGCTTAACCAACTGTGTTACTAACTTAATAACTGCAATGATTCACACTTAACAACTACGGCAAGAAAAGTCGTAAAACGGCGCAAAACTCAGTTAACAAATGTGTCACTTAGCAACAGCAATCGTGGGCTCAATTGTAGCTCGAGGACTAATGTATGTATACACACACACACACACAGACAACCCTAGGAAGCAGGGAGTGGCAAACTTCTGACAAATATTTCCAAGGAAAGCATGACTCAAGAGGCATACATAAACACACTTCACATATAAAGACTCATCTATATTTTTAGTATACCCGTTATTTGTTATGTGTATAAACATCTAGGGGTGTATATGCTCCTTTTATTTGCTATCTGTTTTTTGCTTGCCATTAAGCTCAATTAATTATGCATTATAGGTAACCTATTATCAGAGGTCTCTGGTAATAGGCAATTTACAACGTAATCCCTCTTCCAGCTTGGGTTAGAATTTGCTATCAGATTATCCATGAAAACAATTTACATTGCCAAATACAGAAGGTTTCAAGGTAATTTGTGGCAGAAGCAACAATAATTCATTTTGTTTCTTAATATATGTTTACTACCTCCGGTGATCCATCTCTCCCTTTTGCTCTTTGTAATGCATACATCTGTTTTCTCCAGTTGGCCATTTTATGATTGATTACTGTTGGTTTATGATGCTTTCTCTTTTGATGCTGCTACTTTCACTTCTGTTTATTTTAATCTGGAATGCTGAAAGGAGGTTTGTGGGAGTACTATCTTTAAACAACAATGAAATTATTTCAATCCTGCTCAATCCTGCCTCCTCTTTTTCTTCTGCTTTCTTTTGTAATATACATAATAGGTTCTTTGAGCTGACAATGGTGTTAACAAATTTAATGCATCTCAGTAATGTACATGCGGTATGCTAACGTGATTACTTTTCCCCTTAATCCTGTTTCTTCCCCTTGATACGTGTTTTTTATGTTTCAACTTTTCATTTTTCTGTTTATTTAAGATTTGTAACAATGATGGTTCTCATTTTGCCTGTTGGCCCATTATTTACCTTTATTCTAGTTCCATTTTAAACTGTATTTTATCAAATGTTATTTTAAATTGCTTTTATTAGACTTTGGTAATGATTTGTTGTTGGAACTTTGCACTTTGATATGGCCCAAGGGCTAATCAATAAAGATTATTATTATTACCTTTACATCTTGAGTTACTGAAAAAGGATACATGCCTACATTTACCTCTGTTCTTTTTAATTTCATAAACTATTTTCAGACAAACTATGGATATCCTAAACAAACCTTTCCCTCAATTCATGTTT